CGTTGTCTCTCCCCTATCCCCCCAACTGTTCCCTGTATGTGATGCTTCTCTCCCTGAGTCCACGGATTTCTTGTTCTTTAATCTTACAAGGTGAGCTCACGCGCCTAGCTCAGAGGGTTTAATCCTTATCTTATGGTGCCATCTTTATTTTAAAGGAACTTTATTTTATAGTGAGTGCTATCTTGTGGTAATCCCAGTACTTTGGGAGGTGAAGGAGGATCACTTTGTCTTCCTATACACAAGCAAGAACTTAGCTTTTAACTTCAGAGCATTGACTCCATTTCTCTAGAGTTTGTGCATCCCAGAATGGCTATTCCTGACTTTTCTCTTGAATGAGCTCTTTAAAACTGCAATCTGATGCTTTTGATTATTTCAGGTTGACATATCAGACAGTTGTGAGTGATAGCAACTAATTCACAACAGCTGGGGGTGAGTCCCAACAGAACAATGGGCAAAGAAATACATTCTTGGCATTAATAAAATTTGATTTTATTTCTCATGGAAATAGTTCCAGGGAATAAACCAGGAAATGGGACCTGGGTGAGCCATCAACAGCATCCTCTCTATAGGGATCTACATCAACACTTAAATAAATTCAACCTGACTACCAAGCTGACTTCCATGATAATCTTTGAGGCTGTCAAGAATTAAGCATTACAGCTAGGCGAGGTGGCTCACACCTGTAATCCCAGCGCCTTGGGAGGCCGAGGTGGGCAAATCACTTGAGGTCAGGAGTTCAAGACCAGCCTGGCCAACTTGGTGAAACCCCCTTCTCTACTAAAAATACAAAAATTAGCCAAGTGTGGTGGCACGTACCTGTAATCCTAGCTACTCAGGAGGCCGAGGCAGGAGAGCCGCTTGAACCTGCGAGGCAGAGGACGCAGTGAGTTGAGACCACGCCACTGCACTCCAACCTGGGTGACAGAGTGAGACTCCGTCTCAAGAAATAATAATAATAATTAAGCATTACATGCACCAAAGAATATAAAGTTCCAGTTAAATAGGAGAGATGAGTTTTCAAGATCTGTTGCCCAGCAAGGTGCCAATACTTAAAAATTTGAAAATTATTTTAAAAAATAGATTTTGTCCAGGCGCAGTGGCTCACACCTGCAATCCCACCACTTTGGGAGACTAGGATGGGAGGAGGGCTTGTGCTCTGGAGTTAGCAACATGGCAAGACCCCATGTCTACAAAACATTTACATATATGTATAAATGAGCCCAGCATCATGGCATGCCCCTGTGGTCCCAGCTATTCAGGAGGCTGGAGCAAGAGGACCATTTGATCCCAGGAGTTCAAGGATGTAGTGAGCTATGAGCTATGATCATGTCACTGCACTCCAGCCTGGGCAACAGAGTGAGACTATATATATATATATATGTGTGTATATATAGATATACATATGTGTATATATATGTGTGTGTATATATATATGTGTGTATATATGTGTATATATGTGTGTATATATATATGTGTATATATATGTGTGTGTGTATATATGTGTGTGTGTATATATATGTGTGTATATATATACATATGTGTATATATATGTGTGTATATATATACATATGTGTATATATATATGTGTGTATATATATGTGTGTATATGTGTGTATATATGTGTATATATATGTGTGTATATATATGTGTATATATATATGTGTGTGTGTGTATATATATATATGTATAGTATGTGAAGCATGTGAAGTAATGAACATGTTAATTCACTTGGTACAATCATTACACATGTATACATATACCAACACATTAACATAGTACTCCATCAATATATAAAATTCTTATTTTTCAATTAAAAATAACAACAGAAATTGAAAAAAAATCGTGTGGAAGCTGCTCGCCCCCACATTTATCTTGTGACGATGCAACATGGCTTATGAGAACTGTTATTTTGAACACTTTAAAATGAAAAGGAAGTGATGTTCATGCTCTGTGTAGCAACATTTGAGGCAGCGGGTGAGCATGACCCAGAGAAATGTTTGAGCAATGCAGCCAGTGCTCCTGGTGCTCCACCCAGAT